GAAACGCTGTTTTGTACTCATTTATTGACGAGTCGGCTGCGGTGCGGCCAACTGAATGTGCTGCTTCTCTGCCGCTCACTGCACAGAACAGACGCCGAGAGAGGTGACACTTCTCTGGGAAAGTCAGACCGCGGGACAGCACTGGCGAAATCTTCCAACTGAACCATAGTTAAGGTTTATCCAAAAAAGTCCCTAGGTTTGTCAGTATGAATATTCTATGGAAAAAATTCGCTAAAAGGGTCTGAAAGTTGCTAAATCTAGTGTTAAAGTCGCGCTCGTGTGTGTGTGAGACGCCGGAGCTGATGGCAGGGGGCGGTGGATATTTGTGGCGGTCAGTGTGGATATTGTGGATGAGTTCTTCTGTCATCACGTTCTATTAGTTCTACAGCTTCAGTTTAAGAATTTCACGCTTAGTAACACATACAGCTGTTCCCTCACCACAGTGCAACACCCCTTTCAAACAGTGTCGCGTTCCGAACGTTGTTTAAGTAACATATGCCGGTATTGTGGTATTTTCAAAATTCATATCATAACAAAAATAAAAACCGGTATTCGGTATGAACCGGTATATCGCCCAGCACTAATTATGAGTATAAAAAAAAATCCGTAAAAAAGATTAAATGATAATTTAGGAATTATAGTATTAGGTTTGTCCCTCATTCGCTTTGATGGCAGCAAGGTGTTTCAACTCCACAAGATTCCAAACCTGGTGAACGTGTTCTCCATTATCTAAAGAGCATGAATGCAAAAATGACCATCTGTGCAGAGTGTCACATAATCAATTTCACAAATTTGCTTATTTGATTGGTGACCTAGAAATGGTGCAGAACACTTTATTTCCTATATTTCCAGGTTTAAATTAAATGAAGAATCCCAGATTTTCAATATGGAAATTTTTGTTTGCACAGGACATGGGTAGGACAAGAAAAAGAAAAACACATAGAAGTTGCCTCATGCGGCTCATACAAATTAAAAGTGACGTGAAATCTCCTTTGAGCATTACCGGGTCTTATTTGTGCTTTGTGCAGCTTTTTCTGTGCGAGAGCTGCTGTGTACCTCACTGTCCACCTTGAGAAATATGGCGTATGCTTAGGAAACCATTACACTGCATTTGATGAGGGTCAGTGCATTCAATCTCAGGCCTGAACTCAATACACCAATCATGTACACTCTGGTAACTATCCAAAAGGGTAACCTAGCCTCCTGAGCTGGTTATGTCTCAGCTTAGAGAGGGAGAGAGAAAAAGAAAATAGAGCAAAGGGGGGAGACAGAGAGAGAGAGAGAGAGAGAGAGGGAGGAAGTAATAATTACCTGCAGCACTCAGATGCCATTACCATAGTAATAAAACCTGTGAACTTGACAAGGTGACTATCTACAAGGCTGCAATTAAAAAGGCCATAAAATCAACTTACTCAATCACAAATGACATGATGGGTCTATAGATTTAAGCAAGCCCTTCAGTTTTCATATCATATCACTAGTCCACAACTCCACTCTTCTTGTGATCTATTTTGTCCAATTGAAATTTTTCCATTATTCACCTGTGAATTTTGTCCTGGTTGACTGAGATCCCATCCAGGTTTACATTTAAATCTCACTACAGCCTGAGCCATGCTTGATCTGCTCTGAATGTGAGTTTTAAATCTAATCTGCCTTTATGGAGCAGAAATTCTCCCAGTTTTCACTCAAAGTCAAATAGCAAATGACCTATTCATATATTTTTTACTTTTAAAAATCAATCCGAATTGCAGTTTGAAAACCACTTTACTTTAATAATGTGACATATTTTTGAGTGAAACAGGATATTCGATGGGGGGGGGGAATGTGTAGAGTATGAACAGATTTGGATAGTAAAAAGTGGTCATTACACTGTCAGAAAAAAAGCACCTTCAGGGGTACAATAGCTTGACACTGGGGCAGTACTCTTAAAGGGACAACTTTGTACAAATTATCTACCCCTAAAAAGTGCATATTCTTACCTTACAGTAGAAATATGCACCCTTAAGATACTACTATGAACCTTTTAAGAGTAAATAAGGTACATAAATAAAGATTCTGCCCCAGTGACTAGCTGCTGTATACCTAAAGGTCCATTTTTTTTACATGCTTTTTCTTAGAATGCACATACAGGAATAGAGCTGAATGGAAGTTGCTAAAATAAATAATGCCTGAATAGCTATTTCAGAATGAGTTTTTACTATCATTAAACATTCTCCAACTGCCCGCAACGCCTAAGCAATGTCAGCGGAAAAAGAAAAGTCGTAAAAATGTGCATTATAAAAGTAAACGGGGTCAATTTTGATTTCACACTGACTTTAAATGTTCACACACTGGATCACAGTAAGTACATTTTGTAATGTGGCAAAACAATCATCATATAGGGTCCCCAGGCTCACAGCAATCTGCCGCTGACTCCCACTTACAGTAAACGCTGTCAGGCAGTAACCCACAGACAACTCGCTGCTGTTGGCTGCACCATCAGCTCATTAGAATGCAACTAATTACTGTATTAATGTCAACAGCCTCTCCCTTAATGTATGCAAATGCACATCTGAGCCATTTCATATCCGTTCCAAAGTAAACCTGGAGAAAATCTGTACCAAAATAAACGGTGAGTTAATCAGTCGTCATTTTCTGCAGATAATAAAACAGGCTCCTGGCATGACCTGTTCCTCGCTGGATTCAGGCTCGTCTCATTCCAGATGTTTTCTGGAAACTGACTGATAGATTATTACACTTGAAAGCTCCAGTGCTTTATAATGCTGTTCACTGAATGCAACAGGAAGGAGAATTTGAAATGCTTCTGTCATGCATTTTCTTGCTAATTATCATTTGATTTCTCTGTGAAAACAAGAAGCCATGAATTTAAAAAACAATTATTAAATATAAAATGTTCAGTTAGATGTTTTATTGTACTGTAAATGTATTTAAACACCTTTTTTCCAGAGGTTTTAAAGGGTTAGTTCACCCAAAAATGAAAATTAGGCTGCATTTTACTCACCCCCGAGGCATCCTAGG